ACTCTTGAAACAATTTTGCTGCAATTAAGAGATCTGAAAACTGAGTGAGTAGTGTATGATGGTGCATTTTATAAAGCACAGAGGTGGGAGAGAATGGTGATGCAGTGTTTAGCACTGTCACACATCTGTCTGCGTGGGTTCTCTCTGGATATTCCAGCTTCCTCCCGCATGGCGTTAGGCCAGTGATTCTAAACTGACAGTAGATGTGAATGTGAGCTTAAATGGCTCTGTCTCTGTGTGTTACACCTGATTAATGACCTATCCACGGTGTACCCTGCCTCTAACAGTAGGATGGATCGACTCCAGCCCCCCACGACCCTCAACTGAATAAGCAGACGAAGGATGGATGCATCACAGAGCATCATGTTTGATTCTGATTTATTCTTTCAAAAACATGTAATTTGACCTTGTCCTCCTCTAAACAAACACCCAGTCAACGCACACACAATCTGGAAAACCTCTGGCTATTGTCTGCTGGCCTTCGCAGAGTTAGTGGATATCCGGGTCAAACCTTCCTGTTCAGTCTGCCAGTCATTGTTTAAAAATGCCAATGAGTTCTTTTATAAAAAGTGATTTTAAAAAACAAAACTGTTGGAGTATCTCCGATGGTTAGAAATCTCATTTCAATCGTTTCTTCTTTTGCTGCCCTCACCAACTATTAAGCTGCATGCAAATGTCTTCTCAAACATGACTGGTGAACATAAATCTGACTGTCTGACCGAACAGAAAGCTTGGACCTTGCAAATAGAATTATGCATGTTTAATAACGCCTTTAAATCAAAGCTGATGTGTTTCTCTGATTCAGAATGCAAACATCTGATACACTGTTCAACAAGCACTTTCACCAACACCTTTACAAATTTCACTTGCTGGTTCATGTATATGTTCTTTTTTTAAAGTTATTATTTTCCAAGTAGTCAACAACGAGAATGACTGGATAGAAAACTGAACGGATACTCGGTGACAAGTTCAAAAAGAAAAATGACACCAAATGAATCTGCAGCTTTGGAAGCACTGGTGCACATTGTCCAGAATTTTTGCAGAGCAGAGAATAACGCTGAGCTTATGGCCAACATGCTGGGTAGGGGGCCAGAATTTCACTGAAGATGCACGTTTTACATTTTCATCTCTAATTTTTTCCACCAAATTTAGGTGATGTCAGCGATGAGCAAGCAAAAAGATTTCATCTTGATATAAAAGTGATGGAAAACCGATATTAGGGAAAATTCAATCCAAGCATGATGGGTGACTAAAATTGTGATTTTAGACATGCAATGATGATTATTTAGATGAAGAGCTGGTTTGAAAACAAAAAAATGCCTGGTGTTCTGGAGCAGAGCAATACCAAATATTAAAATTTATGAAAAACACATGGCAGTGAAGCATATGCGAACCTCAGTGAGGTTATTTGTACTGTACACTTGAGACTAATACATAACTTGATTCATGACCTATTAAAGGCCTATCTTTTTGGAAAACTGATTAGGAATAAATTAGACAACTGGTAAAGGATCCAGCCTATAACTTGTATATAATCTTATCAATATCCAGCCCTACACACAGCATGACACTACAGAGGAGTTTAAGATTTACATACCTGTATTTTGCATTCTCGTCCTGGTCCATGTTTGCCTGCAGCTTGGCAAACCAGGCAAAAAACTACAAAAAAAAAAAGAGGAATTATATTACACCCATGCATCTTATTAAGGTATGGTAAATCTGACTGGGTGCATAACTGCTTAAAGCTGACTGGGTCAGACACCTGTTGTGCAGTTTCTATTCTATTGTTTTCCATGTTGAGCATCTGAAATCCTTTGAGCAGGATGTCTTCTGTTGAATCGGGAACAGTCGCAGTGAAAGGGGACTGCAAGGATCTAGATGACAAGCTACACAAGTCTTCAATGGGTAGCTGCAAAACAAAACAAGGCTCCTTATTTCTAAGCTCCTTGATTTCAAGCTAACTACCTGGACATGTTGACGAGGTGGTGAAGCACAAATACATACATGCCAGATAAATTAACTTGTAACGTAATGAAAGGAGGAATTAAGGTCATACAGTGGCAGCCTCGACTTTTATTTGACATCACTTGCGTTTAGAAAGTAAGTTAGCAGCACTGCTAGCTAGCTAGCAGAGTCCAGAGCTCCAGCTCACCTCAGAGGGCACAGAGAGCTTTTCGGCCGCGGCTCGGATCTCCAGGACGGAGTCCATCTGTTTCTCCGTGAGGGGAGCCGTGGCATCGGCACGGCGGTCCCATAGCGACAGTTTTTCCCGGGTTTCCTTATCTGTTAAGTCCAAGAGGGACTGATCTGTGGACGCCATCGTTAGATTAGACAGCACCAACGTCAGCAGCAACGCGCTGGTACTTCCTGTTCCGGGAGTGTGGGCGGGGCTTGATAAAGAGGTCGGTGATCCCACTGCGATGGTGAATTTCGCTCCGTGTCTTAAAACACTTTTGCAAATATATTTTAAAAGCATGAAAAGGATAATATACAGAACTTCTCTGTCTTCATTTTTTTAAATTACAAAATGACATTTTTTCAGTATTAAAAAAACGAGTTATTAAGCAAAATGGTACAATGGAAGATATGATCATATGAGTTTCCGCCCACAGTCCAAAGACATTCTCCTGAACTGGTTTAGATGTGGATTTGACAGTGAATTTGAGGTTTTCTGTCCGTAATGGATTCTGATAACCTACCCAGGATGCACCCCTGCTGCCAGGTGGGGATTAGCTGCTCCAGACATCCAGCTCCACATCCTTGAATTGTATAAGGGAAAGTAAATGGATGGATGGATGGATGGATGGATGGAGGGATGGATGGATGGATGGATGGAGGGAGGGATAGAAGTTATAACTACTCATGTTCAAGGACGTGGCTACAGTTTTGGGCCTCCTGTGTCACCTCTCCAAAGCTGTGTTGTCATAACATTGCAACACCATCATCTGTTTTTGAGGAAAAACAGTATTGTGCTCCTCAGTGAGTTATCGTAATACAGCTATATAACGATATGCAACTGAATAATAAGGGTGTGCTAATAAAAAACTGACTCATATATGTACTTCACAGTGACTTGGTCCACTGCCTAACATTACTTTTTTACCTTGCACAGGTTAACATAAAACAAAGGAATAATGGGAGATCTGTCTTTAATTCTACCACTCAGCAGAACAATAGACATAAAATGGTTGCACCCGGACTGCAGTTTGTGAGCTCCATTACCTTGGGACTCAGTGTTTAATGTTTTGTTTCAGTTCCATGGTCAAGGGTCACCCACATCCAATGCACATTTATTAAGGCAACAACTAAAGTTTTTCTAATGTGCTGAATTTTCAGTTTGTCTTTTAGTGATGTGGTTTGATATTTATTTCTCATAGAATTTTCTGTTTTCTCATGCCCCCTGCCAGCTGATTGTTGGTCCCCCAGTGCCACCTCATTTCAAAAAATCTTGGGAACACTCCTGTTTGTGTATTTTATTGCATTTTGTTTCTCTGGGAAAAGTGTGTGTATGCATGTACTGGTCATAACAGAACCACTTGAAAGTAACTGTTCGTGCATAGCTGGTTTTGATCGTTAAATAAATAAATAAATAAATGTTAGATGCCTAACCAGAAATTTCAGCTATCATCCAGGTTATGGTGAAGGCCCATTGTAGGTTTTACTAAACAAACACCACAAAACAAACAGATCAACGTGGCAGATGGAATTTGTGGGCGGGACAAAAAATGGCACCCAGCAACACGTTAATCTATCACAGAAAAAAATAAATAAATCCAGCAGGTGGAGCCCTGGGAAACATTTTTAATAGACAAAAATTCAGGCTCCAGGATATTTTCACTCCGTTAACTCTTCTATGTCTGCGTCCATTTATTCATGCAGAAGTAAAAGTAAAAACAATAATGTGTCTACTTGTGTTTTTCATGCTACAGCGTTTCTTTACTAAAGTTGATGTATATAAACTTAGCATGTTTTACTATTTTTTTTTAATCAGTAGAAAAAAACTGTCCTTAAGTTAAATGTTACTATTTAACAGGAAGGAACTATAATAACACTGTTTATTTTACAGCTAGCTAATCTACTGACAAATTTCAATAATTAATTTTAATTTAACGATTTATTTTTTAATTGAGGAGGTGAAGTGACAACTGGCAATGTGTAGCATTTAGTATACTTCTGGTTGACTAGATCCTCTTCACAAATAGCTTCAAGTATTTCTTCCCACGCAAAAAATGAACACATCACAAAATCAAGCTCTGGTGACATTACATGGAGGAGGTAGTGCTCACTTATTATGGCTTTGTCTGCAGGGTGTCTCATGGGGAGGTCACAGAGAGTTCAGATCTTCTTTTTTTTTTTTTCTTTTTTTGCTCTTGTACTTTGTTGAAAGGAAACGCTGCAGAATTCAAGCCACGCTACTCCAATACAAAACGAAATGTCAGAGCAAATCTTGTCAAAAATTGTGTTGTGGCTCAATGCAGGTTAAAGTCAGTCCTGCAAAGCAACGTTGACACTTTTCTTTATGATGGCTGTGTTATCTTTTCATAAAAAAAAGCATTCCAATGTTAAAATAAAACTCAAAAATAAATGATGGTGCATTGTGTTAAGTTACAATGTACTGTTACTGATGATTAAATGAGGTAGAAAAGCAGATATATTATAGGAGGCACACATTTTACAAAATTGTAAAGAATGGTGCGTTTGTATATATATATGTGTGTGTGTGTGTGTGTGTG